ATTTGCTATCAAATTGTCATCAAAATGAAAATGTCAATCAATAGGTACATGTATTACCAGCTTTTTAAGGAAACTTCAATTCATTTCTTACACACCAATTTAGGAAATCATTGCCGTGAAAACTTAATACTTGCCTTGTTTCGAACATGACATCAGAAAATATTTCTTTTTTTTCAATGTAGGAACACAATAAATTTAATTTTGAATTGAATCTAGTGACGCTGTAACATGTTTTTTTATAATTATATGTCAATATATCATATAATATAATTGAAATTATTATAGGCCTATACAATGTATATTTTTTTTTTGTCATTATATTTTCTATTAAACAGCATACACAGACCTGGTGAGTTGTTTTCTTCCTTGGATTCTGGGATACCCATGGATTTTTTCCCCTTTCTTTATCTGAATGTAATTTTGGCTTTTCTTTTAACTGATTTAAGGGGGATGTACAAGCCATATTGGATCTGTTTTGGTGTAAAATAAGAAATACCAAGAGTGCGCTTAATACTCTACCAAACTAGCCCAAATGCTAATGAACTCATTACCTACTGTTAGAGACCAAACTTAGTAAATAATTAAGTTTATTTTGTTTAAATTAAGAGAAAATTAATCTTGTTAGAACTGTGCAGCTACAACATTCACGAGATGAAATATGCATTAAAAATGATATCATTTCGATTCATTGATAATATGGCAACAATCATTTGTTTCGTTTTTTTTTTTTCTTATCCTTGTCCATCATTCTTGAAAATTTGATTTTTCATATGGGGGTCTTCCTGAGGCCATGTCCTCTTTTTATCCGCCATTCCTATGTCAAACAGAGTTTAAATAACATTGGTTTTAGAATAAATGCGACCATAACAACATCAAGACAAGAAATTACTAAGTAATAATACTTAGGTTAAATAACTTACTACTGTTATTTGTTGTATTGCATCGTCTGATTAATGAAAAAACGCGATTTTATCCCCACTCCAGCAAATCAGAAAAAAACTGTTCTGTTAATCGCTCGAGTTTCCTCGTTCATATTATTCCACTGAGCACGTGGTTGGAATGTGCATATATCTTCTGTGGATAGATGCGTTTATTACGATGATTATATTTAATTTTCCATGGAACAAATCTTGATAATTTGTTGATTCCTTTAAAACTCAAGAAAAAAGATAAAAATTGTCCTAAACATATGTGTTTACTGCGGATCTCTTTTCTGTGGCGATAGAAGCTATTTTTCAAATGGGGCTCTGCAAGGAGGATGCTTAGCTTTTTTAATTAGAAAATGTTGAACAATATGCGGTACATGGATAACAAATTTTAATTACATGTATTACATTAGACAAGTTGGTACATATGTCAATTTTGTTCAGCAGTTAGATAGAAAAATTACTCAGTTATAGGATTTCCTTCAGGCACCTCACAGAAATAGAGATTGTTTGCGATGGTCAACACATTGTATATGGAGTAATGTTTTGGACATAAAGACACATCATGTCTCATTATATTGACAAGGTTGTAAGCTCTCACCAACATGTAAGTTTGATAAAATATATTGAGTTAATTGTTTCTTTGAAATTTAGAAGAGAGCACAATGTTTGCAAAGAAAGGTCCATTGCTTATGCTATGTCTATTTTCGCAAAAACTAAGAACGTGGGATCCCCACCCCCGAAAAGCCAATGTTCTTTTTCAAAATAGTGCCAAAGCTGCAGAAATTTTGCATCACTAAGCTTGTGATGAAACATGAACTAGCCTTATATTGGTAAAAAAATTTTGGTTGCCCTCTCTCCCGACCTTCATTTTTTTTACATCCCATTACACGATTTTTTTCTTTGTATTTCGTTAATAAATATGTTTAAATTTTAAGGAATTTTTTTTTTCTCACCTATCAAAATGGACCCAATAATTTTTTACTCAGTCGGGAGGACCACCAAACATCATTATAAAGATGGTCTAACATATATTTAATTATGTTGATTTTTTTCTTTACTCTGTAAAATTTAGCAAATTAAAATAAAAGTTTTTATGCGGTAAATCTCCTAACCCACTCTGAAATGGTGCTCCGATGTGATGAAAATTGTAAATGTTTATTTGATATACTACATTGTATTAAAACAAGATCATTCTTAACGATTTTATGTGTTTATTTTCTTTTTGTTTCATTAAAATTTTGGTAGATAAAATGTTATCCGTGTCAGACTTACAAATTCTAAATTCTTAAATTTGATTGTGCTCATCAAAGAGTTGAAGATTTTTTTATATCAACACGTACATAATTTAACAACTGTGCATAATACCATTTATTATTTTAAGTCACAATTTAACACAATTCCTATTTTAAAAGTATTCATATTATTTAAAACATTTTGCAACTGTAATTCTCTTCTACTTTTTAAGATTATTATGTACCTACATATTAAGAAAGAGGTCTGGAAAAAAACATTTTGTGCTAAAAATAGACCGCGTGCTGCTCTCAATGAACTACTTTCATGGTTCTTTGCACTCATTTTGAAGACAACAGTACCTTGTTTTGAACTTACCATTGAAAAGTGCAAAATTTAGACATTTTCTAAACAAATGGTTGTAGAGAGAACATTAATGCACGCTTTGCATTTTTTTTTATTTTTTAAGGATCTGCTGAATTCTACAGCTGCGCAGTTCTAACGTGCATACCAAAAGCATTTTTCTGCAATAGTATAGATCATATAGATAAAACATGCATTCAATTGTGCATATTTATTGTATCTTTATCATAAGGACTTGAAATATGATCAAAATAAAATGCATTTTAGCCATTTGAAAAAATGTTTACATTTTGTTCTTATTGCACTAAAGGTGGCCGGACATCCCCCCTAAGGGGAAGAAGAACATCTAGTTTAAAAAAATGTCACTTAATTTCTTTCAAATTACGTATATTATTCAGTAGATATGCCCCATATATTTCAAATCTGTTGTATCATTAGTTTTTTTTTTATTTCCTAATTTTTGAGATATTGATTGATAAATAACGTGCCCTACAGTATGTAAGTGAAGGTCTGATTCTCCATGTTTACAGATACATTATTCTGTTACTAATGAAAATTTTTCAGCAAAGATAAAAACAAAAGGTCGAAAGGCCTTAAACCGCTCTTCTGATAAATTGTACAACCTATAACTTGTATTTGAAGCCTCAAACTATCCGGAATATTTAGATCAAACCTTGAAAATTCGAAGCTAGGTCATCATGACCTGCATTTTGGTTAAAACACTCTAAGAACCCTAGATGAATCAACTCACAAAAATGGATGATTAAATCTTTTCATACTAAAAATATTTAGATAATTCATTAATCATCAAATGGTATGTCATAGTGACCTAATTTTCAGTTGAAATTCTCCGAGAATTAAAGATGCATCATCTTAAAAGAGTTGATGATTTTAAGCCAAGTAGTACCTAAGTATTTAGATATAGTGTAAAATTTTCAAAAGTATGACAAAGTGACATACTTTTCACTTGACGTTCTCTGAGTACCCAAGATGCATCAAATGAAAAAGTTTGATGACTGTGAGCCAATTAGTACAATTCAACCTTAAATAACCAAAATTTCAAAGTAACCATACAATTTCAAAATTAGGTCAATGTAACCTTGATTTTAGCTGAATACTTTAAGGACTCAAGATGCAACAACTGACAAAGTTTGATTATTCTAAGACAATAGGAACTTTGAATATAGCTATAAAATTTTAAAGTAGGTCAAGGTGACCTACTTTTCAGTTGACATCATCTGAGGACCAAAAATGTATCAACTTACAAAGTTTTATGATTCTAAGACAATGTGCATGAAGCTATATTTCTTTAAAAGTAGGTCAAAATGAACTATTTTTCACTTGACGTTTTCCGAAGACCCAGACTGCATCAAGTGACAAAGTCCGATGATTCTAAGACAATTAGTACCTGAAAGTATTTGAATATACCCAAAATTGAAAAGAAGAGCATGTTGACCAACATATTACTCGGCGTTTTTCAAGGACCAAGATGCATCAACTGACGACAAAGTTTCAAGCTTTTAAGCCAGTTAATACCTGAAATATTTAAATATGCCAATAAAGTATTAAAAGTAGGTCATGGTGATCTACTTTACAGTTAACGTTCTCCGAGGACCTAGGATGCATCAACTGACAAAATCTGATGATCATAGGCCCTAAAATGTCCAAATTATGCCTCTGAAATAATTTGAAAGCAAATACTTGCGAATTTGAAAAAAAGGTTACCTTAACATTATTTTTTGATAAATTTGTTTTAGGCCCCAAGATGCATTAACTTAAAAGCTTTAATCCTACCCCTTTTAAACGTAGTAAGAAAAATATCAGAGTTTTAACATAACATAATTTTTGGTTATTTTTGAAGTGACCCGAGAACACACTTTTTGCCTTATGGTAATCCCCTGAACATTCTTTAAAATACAGGATATTCTTATCTTTGTGTTTAAAATTGATAATCTGCCAATTGGTTCTTGAGAAGAAGATGTTTTAAGAACCAGTACTTCTGTTTTATTATCCTAATTATCTCCTCTGTTTAAAGGTCTCATCTTTTTTTAGTACAAATGAGAGTCCCTGATCCGAGGATACTCTTTGATAAACCATACAAAAATCGGCCTAGTGATTCATGAGATATCGCCCATATTCTAAAACGTTTGTGCATACCACACAACCCCATGTGGCCATAGCATTTGCTCTTTGATCCTTTGGTTCAGAAGAGCTGAAATATGTAAGTTGACATATATCTTTTAAAATATTTCAGATTATGAATAGGATCTAAATTTAGAAATGCATGTGTCCTTTCTCATACTGCATCTGGACTTCTAAGATATAATATTTAAATATGAATGGGTGCAAGAGACAACCTTCATATTAAAATTCATATCTTATTAATATTTAAGTGTTAAAAATCATACCTACATTTTATTGAAATATTCTTTTAGGGAAGGGGTTGAGTTGTTTTTTTTTAAAGAGACTAGAGGGAATGAACAAATACACACAGAACATGAAAGGATTCAGCGAAAAAGAAGATTATTACATGGACTATGTAATTAAAACTTAATTAAGTATCTTCTCCTTACAAATGGCGTTAATAAAAATTTATTTAATATTACAAAATTTTGATATTTGTTTACTGGTCAAGTCTTATGTGATCTAAAAATAAAATAATTAACAATGTTATTTAAAAAAAAAATGAAATTAAAGTTTAAAAAATAAAATTAAAAATCTCGCTGATCTGAGAAAAATTAAAAAGAAGACCAAAAAGCTACAGTGCAACCCACTGGAAAAAGTTTATATTAATTGCAAATCATTAAGGTCGCTGATCCATAAAGTGTCGTCGTATATCTTAAAAATTTTGGAAAAGTTCCTTTCTTACTACTGGTTTTCAACAATAAAATAATTTGTTAAAGTCACTCTGTAAAAAAAACATATACTCTGGAGCTAATGTTGGTACATGTATTAAAAGGATTCTTGAATTGCTCATTGACACCATCTCATGTGACTGTATACTACTGTGATTAGTGGTAGATGTATATTAGGCATAGATATTCACACATTTTGACGTTAATGGCAAGTATTTTCTAACAACTTATTAAAACTTAATCATTAATTTGTAATTCATCATTTTTTTTAGAATTTGTTAATTATTTTATGCGAAATATCTGTCTTTTTTATTCAAAGGGGGTGGAAGGTGATGAAGATTATGAACAGGTAAAAGTTTTAAGATAATTATCTTTCCATATATTAAATACTTAAAAATTGCAATATAAAAAATTGGGTTTTTTTCATTTTTTTATGAACGTCAGTTTCTCTTTCTTAAAGCTACAGGTGCAGTCCAGAGAAACACGAAACATCGAGCAAATGAACGTCTTTGGAGATGCTTTTCAACAAAAACCTCCAAAGAGGTCCTTAAAGCGTGTTCTGGTGGTACTTGTAATCATTACTCTTCTGCTTGGACTTGTCACAACGAGTGTATTACTTTTTCTTGAGAAAACAAAAACTGATGGTAATTCATTCTACTGCTTAATACTGGTATTTAAAATGGAAACTACGCAAAATATTATCTATCCTAGGCTGCAACAATTTCAAATTAAATGGACATTTAGTAGGAAATTATCTAAATCAGCAAAGCACTATCTATTTCTTACATAACTGTATTATATCTAATTATTCATGAACATTCATCCTGACAGCATTGCAGGTGCATTGCAGTCTAAATATCAAATAATTTCTAAACAGTGGACAAAAATATATTAAAAGGAAATGCAGAATAAATGTGTAATTATTAGAGGCAATTTTCATTTACATAGCGAAAAAAAATTCTGAAAGACAGAAGTATATTGCTTCTAGAAGTAGTAATTCATCTTGAGTGCACACAGTGTAACATTGCCCTAAACATACGCACCTATCAATCTTGAGGGCAACAGTATTGCAATAAAAATTAAATCATGTTCTAAAAAATATTGCAACAAAAGCATTGCCACTCACGATGTATAATAATGGACTAGTCATAATAGAATGGAGCCATAAAAAATATATAGCTACAAACTGCATTACTTTTAGTGTCTGAGATCAATTGTTTTATCATCTTAACCTTTTTCATTCTACACATTAATGCAGTTAAAATACTACATTGAAAAATTATCATTCAATTATATATCATGTTAAAGTCAAAAGTTTTTATACATGTTTCAGTATCCTATCTTTATATGAAAAGGCTTCAAAATGACACATGTATTAAAAGAGTATATATGATAAGATCCAATTTTGGCCCCCTAAAAATCAACATTTTAGAATGGCATTCAAATATGTTTAATTGATATTTATTTTGAAGAAGAGATTATGTTAGAAATATTTCTAATTTATTTTTCACATTTATATGCATTCTCTAGCTGTAAATGACATGAGAAATGATGCTGTTTTTGCTATCTAACAAAAAAACCAAAAATATGCCTTTTTCTTGATGTTTCTTTTTTCTTATGGGAAACATAGAGCGCAGTGAAAAACATACATAGTTTTTCTGTCACTGATCAGTATTGGATAGATAGATCTTTGGCAAAAATATAAAGCTTGTTCAAGGCTGCGCTCTATATTTTCTGGAAGAATAACTGCTTCAAAATAAGCAGATTTATTTAAAATATGCTAAAATGGCGGGAAAACGTGATTTTTATGATGTCATATTTCTAAAATAACGGCATTTTGTTCAAAATGAAAATGACCGATAAAGGTCGCATATATAGCTATACAAATTAAAGCTATATACATTGTATAAAGTAAAATAAAGATATTCCAATTGAGACACTTTCTATATATCGCTCTTTTAAATCTAATGTTCTTTTTAAAGCTGTTTTACTGACTTTTGCATTACCTGTCAAGCTAAACGTCCCCTAAATGAAATGTGTTTGGTTATCTTTTTAAAGAAAATCAAACATTTAACATTACTCTCACCTTGCCGGTCATATTATTCAATTTGTTTATACTTATATCATACATTTCAAAGATGTGTGTTGTTAATTGTACATCTTTTACAGCTGAGAAAACACTCATATATCAATTTTTTCATTGTTTCATGTGCAGAGAAGCCCCTACCAACACCTTTGGCGATAAATGAATTTGTCAGCTATCCCTGCAAAACCCAATTATCCAAATCAACAGATAAAGGAAATGCAGATTTAGGTAAGGATGCAATTAAGTACCGAATTTTTATTCACAAATAAATTTCTTTTGCTACTTAAACCAAAAACAAAAATCTGTTGCAGGGAGCAGAGGGCGAAGTTTTCTGGTAAGCTTTATCCAAAATCACAACGATGGAAATACAACAAACCGAACAATTATTGTGTCATCAAAAACTGATTTCAATATAACAGTTGCACTGCCAGAGAGTCAAAGTTCAAATCTGATATCTATTTCTAGTCATAGAAGTAATGTAGCATCATTCAAGAAATTGAATGTACACTACTCTTTGGTTCCATCCTACTCTGCCATTGAATCTAAAGGTATTATCATAAACACCTCAGTGACGTCATCTGTACTGTCCTTGACCGAATATCGTTTGTCATCAGACACGACAACAGTGTTTCCCATGGACAAGCTTTCTACGAACTATATCATATCGACAGCGACACCGTCAAATAGCTATTTAGGCAGCGGAAGTCATTTCACTGTTGCTTCAATGAAAGACAACACTCATGTCAGTATAGAGTTTGTAGCTGATCATGACACAACGATACTGCTTCAGGGAAGAAGTTATGGGAGAGGGGACACATTTAATATCATTTTAAACAGGTATCAAACTTTCAAATCGGACATAATGCTGATATGACGGGAACTACGATTAGTTCTTCCAATCCGGTTGCAGTCTTTGCAGGAAACAGGTGCAATACTGTGGGATACCATGGGTACTGCAGTATGCTCATGGAAATGGTCCCACCAATTGAAAAATTAGACAATGTATTCATCGTACCCCCAAATATTCACAGATTCAAATCGAATATACGCATTGCGTCGGCAGTGAAAACTGATATTAAATATACCACCAAGGAAACATCTACGAAGACATTTCTTTTGAAAAATCGGTTTGCTGAATTCCTTGTTCGCGAAGACGAAATAGGTGTCATAATTTCTACCAAATCTGTATCAGTAAACAGTATTGCATTGTCTTCAACCGAGGCTAAAATATATGGCGATTCATACATGGTTACAATTCCTGGAATTAATCAGTATCTCAGCACATACACCAATTTCGTGCCTGGGGGATATAATTATAGTTTCGCTACTTTTATGATAAAAAACGATTCTCTTAGAAATCTTCAAATCAATGGAACAAATATGAACGTAGAGAGCTGTCTTTTTAACTCCTCTGTTTCCGTGGGAATAGATCTTTACAGCGTGTGTACAGTGAGTGTTCCAAGTGGAGTTATTAATACACAGACATCCGATGGGTCTCGGTTTGGTTTTATGGTTACTGGACAACGCAAACACGATGGTCATGGCTACACTGGAAACGCACTTTCAACCTCCACCTGTGAGACATAAGAACCTGATTACAAATTGCCGAATTAATGAGTAATTTCCGATTGAAACTGAACGCTGTGAAGAAGAATACAGTTTAAAAAAATAAAAGATCATTGTTAAGACGATATGTCAATGCACTGGCTTAAGACTTCATCAGACTTATGGAAACAAGAACTGAAAAAAAGAAAAGTCTTGTGATAGTAAGGCAACCTTCACAAACATTATCGGACAACATATATAGACAACAGATTATTTGTAATGCTGCGTAACATACGAGTGTTTTTGAAAGTCCGAAGACCATGTCAAACATCGCTATACATGTACTATTCAAGAAATAAAAAATAAGGTTCTTTAAAAATACACCTTTTTAACATTTTGTAGTATGGTCCAAGACCAACGCACTCATTAAAGATGTTTCTCTCACAGTTGAAACAAATTTTGCTAACATTTGTACACAAAATTTTATTTTTCAATCTTTATGCCTTCACAGAATAAATAATTTTGACTCGCCTTACCTCCTACCAACTTTTGATAGAGTTCGATATTTTTTTTTCAGATATTTTGTTTCCTCGTTGGATATACTCATCTGATAACTGAGGGTCTCTATCATCCAAATACTGCCTGTATATGTATCATTAACACACACATGCACGACATGCTTTTAACATACTTCCTGCTTCTTACATGTACATTTTAAGAGTTTTTCTGTTTTTCTGTTTTATTTCTGACGTTTTTCATACTAATTGTCATCTCATAATTTATACACTGAATTGACGACGGATTTTTCCGTTATTTCTCGATCATGACAAGGAGCACACGGCGTTGTGACCTGTCAGCAGGGGATGCTCACTTCTCCATGGCACCTGATCCCACATCTGATGTTTTGGAGGTCCGTGTTTGCTCTGCTCCTACTTTGTATTGTTTTATGGACTTTGATATTGAATACTGTTCGTGATCTCCACATATCCTTCTGTTAAGAGTCCAACACAAAATTGTTCACTAGTACTCCATGGCATTCTTTGTTTTGCCTTTTCAATGCAGATTGCCTTTCTTCTAGAATTGATTTCTTTACAGCAAAGCAAAATTTAAAGCAATAATTTGGAAAATGATACAATGTACAATATTTAACTTTAAAGTCTAAGGTTTTCCAGTTTTGTAACATTACATAGGGGATATGGCAACGGACACTATTTATTGTTTTGATTTTAAAATACTAATTTTGATCTGCTCTGAGTTTCGATGTTTGCCTTTTCATAATCTAATAATTTTGAAATAAATCATGGTATTTATAAAATGTTTATACACGTACAAGTCATTCAAACTAATTGTTTAAATATATCTGCAAATTCTGGATATAATATGAATTTTAATTAAATAGTTATATGCAGGTATAGTCTACGAACTTTCCTAACATTCCTCGTATAATTTGAATGTAATAATTTTATTATCATTTGTATGGAACACTGAATACTTGTATGTGTGCAATTAATAGTACTAGTTTTGTTATCAGCTTATTATCAAAAATGTTAGCTAACCTCTTAAATTCATTTTTTTTATTGCTTCTTTATTCGTATTAGCTGTGCATGGAAATTAAAGAAAACTGGTATAAAAGAATGCACAAGTCATTTCAATTTTGTATGTAATCATCGAACTTTACATTGAATTCATCTTCAATGAAATTATTGATCGTGCTTATAGATGATTAAAAAGAGATCAAACGTACAATTATTTGATTTTATTAAAATTGTTTTGTTTTTCCCTGAAATACATATATGCAATAATTTTCTTGTTTCCCATCTTTCCTGCATGTTTCAAGGAGTGTAAATAAAAGGATTTATCAATTTCGTTCTAAGTTTTTATTTGGGTTTCAATCATATTTGACTGCCGTCATGAGAAAAGGGCCCTTATCTTTTGACGTCACAATGCTCAGAAAACGACGTCAAAGTCGCGGTATTGTAAACACGGAAGTAATTTTGTTGACTGAATTTTGTGAACAAGAAATAAAATTGAATTTCAAAGTGTATCAAAAATTTGAAATTTGATGCGGACATTTTTTATAGGTATATGATATTATTTACTATTTAGTACGTAAATTTATTCATAATTTTGTTTAAGTATTTAGCTTGTTGATATACGGAACATTGGACTAATTTTTTTTCAGAGAGAGAGAAAGAAAGAAAGAGCGAGTGAGAGATCTATGTACATATAGTAATTACCGTTCTTATAAGAGCTACTTATATACCATAATTTAAAATGTATTTAGCCATTTTAATTTTAATCCATAGTTAATCTTACTGATGTACCCCGATAGCCAGCCTTCGATAAACTGTCGATTTTAAAGTGTGTAAAAATAGGGGGGGGGGGGTTAAGTAGACAAGCCAAAAAAATCTCCGAATTAAAAGACCGGTTAAAGTTCAAGGTAAAAACATAATCCCTCTTTGATTGAATAAAAATACTGGGAAACCCTCTACATCAACAATATTTTTTTTTTTAAATAAATTAACAGTAAGAGAACATGCTAAGGAAAAAAAGGGGAAAAAAATTTGCTAAAAAAGAATTTTGTTTCAAAAACAAATTTAAAATGATCAAATAGATACATTCAAAGGAATTGTATGATAAAAATTATTATTACCTAACCTACTATATAAATTGTAATTAGGCATTTTGAACTGTTGTATTGTTTTCAAATTTCTAAAATTATTCCGATGAAATGATTGAATGAAATCTCACTAGAACCTGTATTGCAATATGTTAAGAAATTAAATTCAGCTATATTGCAGTCTTTTCCCAAAAGCATTATATCCAATGTTGGTGGAATATATTACGTCGACAGTGATATTATGAATGATGGTATTTTAAACCAATAGAAAAAACTATATAGATGACAGTAAGCGAAAAGACGTATGAATTTCTGGCTAATGTCAGATATATGGGTACATGTACATGTATTGTACATGTATATTTAAGTACTATAGATAGAGCAAAAAATATAAGTGTCAAGTGGTTATGGGTGTAATTTTCAAAAGTTATGAAAATGCGCGTGAAATATATTTCACTGACTATTGAATTCATGATATGAAATAAATAAGTCACGTTTTGCGTTGAAATCTTCAAATCTGATACATGAATCAAATCTCTATCGACATTAATTTCTTTGAAGTTTCGTTGAAATCGAGATAATACGTTACTAGTACCGGTATATCATAATCCTGTAATGTAACATGACTCTACGGAAAGGAATTAATAAACAAACACAAATATTTCTACTTTTAAAGAAAATATTGGCCATTACAGTCCACGCATGTAGCAACAGGGGGGCTACATTGAAAGTCCGGTCCCCCGCCCCCCCCCCCCCCCTCCACACACACAAATACACACTTTTTGTTGCGGCATAGTCAAATTCGTGCACTACAAAAGTATAAGGCAGTGTGTTATGTTTCATTAAAAAAATTGATACTGAAAGAAGATTGAACATAACCCCCCCCCCCTCCCCAACGGCGAAATTAGATTCGAGTTTCGACAACCCCCCCCCCCCCCCCCCGTTTTTTTTTTTTTTTTTGGTTGAGTAGTTTTTTAAATTAATTTTTTTTTCTGGCTGACCCCCCCCCCCCTTTTCAAATGAGTTGTGTGGGGACAGGCGAAGATACGAGTCAAACGTGTGGGGTTTTTTTTAATATGTATGGTATGTTTTGAAGTAATAACTAGGAAAACAATGGTTTGCATAAATATTTTAAGCGAATGAGAGTCAAATTAGAGCGGTTTATTATTACTTAATTAAAAGCATCGCCTCATACAAAAAACATGAACGTGTGCTGGACGTAATATTTCATTGGTGGATAAGACAATCGCATCGAAATTTGAAAAACCTATAAGGTGTCAAGTTAATTAGCCATTGTTACGGAGGAAAATGAATAGATGACCTTTCATGGACGCGTGAAAGATATTGTTTTGCTTGTCAAGGAATATTTGGTGGTTAAAAGTGCCCACAACTGAAAAAAATATAGCTGCCCCCCTCCCCCCCCCCACACACACCTAATATGGCTTCCTATGGCCTGTCGTTCTTGCATAAAAATATACTAGTATTTATTCAGTTTCATTTCAAATAGATTTCGTCAAAATTTTAATGGAACTGTCATTTCGCACAGAAAAGTCTAGCTGCAGATCTGTAGCGTTATGGTTTTACATACCGGTATTTGTCTTTGACCATGGTCAAAGACAAATATGTAAAACCATAACGCTACAGATCTGCAGCTAAGAAAAGTCAAGCACGGCGTTTAGTGTACATATATAAGAAAGAGACAAGAACAGCACAATTCACCATCCCTTTTGATTATATCATACAATATACATAAACCATTTTTTTTCAGATCATAGTAGCGGCCCTTGGAAAAAATATACAAATGTTGTGTTCAAGTTAAACAGGGTACAGGTGCCACAAAATTAAAAAAAAAAGTTAAGGTGCAGAAATATTTATAACCGATTTTAATTGTGGTATACTTTTAAAAAAGTAAGAAGTTAAAAGACGATTTTAATTTGAGGTATAAATTCAAAGAATTGTTCAACTTAAGCTACGGTATATAAACAAATCAGAAGAGAATCCTTTACTAGTATTTGCCTATTTACTATGTTTCTACTCCATAACTAAGACAGGCGAAAAAATGTATTGTTTAAACAAAGGAACCTTAGAGCTTTAAATATTTTAAATAAGATATTCAAAAAAGTAAAAGTTTTAAAATCCTCTTGCATGGAAGTAGCGGAAGTATAGTATATTTTTTTAATTCATGAATTTTTATAAACCGACTAAACGTTTTTAAAAACAAGTTTACATATCTTGGCGTATCTGAATTTATTTTCCAATTGAATTTTTCGATGATACAGAAAATACATGGTGTTTTTCATCCTTTCGTAACAGTTATAGGGAATAAAGTTACGTTCGTGTGTGTTGGTGAGTGAATGCTAACTTATATGAATTTTTTTAATATCGGGATCAATGTGCTTTTTGCGAGGGGGTGCCCCGTTTAGCGCGCGGTGCCATTCTGTATGGGATTCTCTCTCTCTGTGTATATATTTCCTTTAATCTTTAAGTATCCGAGTGCTTTGTATATTTTATACATTGAATTAGATTATTTCGTATAAAAAAAAAGAATAATTTGCATGGATTTAAACAAATATTATTTCCCTACTGATTATGTTAGATGTATAAAATATTCCTAGTTTCTGTCTAGAACCACACCCCTTTTACGAAATAACAAGATCTGCTCTAAAACAGTATAAAAAGAGTAATAATGATATACGAAATTCCTTAGGAATAGTTACATACTAGTCGCTTGGAAGAAAAAAATTAAATACTTTCTCAAGTTTTTAATTCTCATAACGATTGAGGTTATTTAACTAACGTAATTTTAAGAATTTCTGAAAAATGAATTAGACGCAGGCGACGTCATTACGTTTTCAGTGAGTAACGTCAAAGTTGTTTTTGGAGCACCTCACTAAAATGCCCATAAAATACTGAAAAAGTGAGATCTTTTCAAAATTTATGTATATTTGCATTTAGGAAGAGTCCGGCTATCAAAATTCACCAAAAAGTCATTTTATGAAAATTTGACCTTAAGGGCCCTTTTCTCGTGACGGCAGTCATTTCTTATTTGGAGCAGATTTTCATTTACAATTTATAACCCATAAAATATGAATTAGCCCTGTGCAGATAAATATTCTTCCCGGATACATTTTTAGTTGAGACCTTGTTTCCGGTCTTCAGTGCAACTACCATATGTCCACAAGTAGTCATCCAGGTGCTAGCCTGATGTTCAATTGTTGCACGAGAATATTCTTTTGCTTCGACATATCCAGAAATATAGGCAGTATATCCTTTCTTTGTCAAATAGCACCAGCTAAAGGAATAGATGCCGGCCTCTTTAGCAGTGAAAACTCCAGTGTCTCTGTCATAGCCTTTTCCGACATTCAATTCAACAATTCCATATTTCACAATAGCCCCATTGGCAAGAGCATTTATACTGCTTGTCAGCACTGCGTAGAAAGCGATCGTTTGTTTCTGATCTGTAAATGTACAAAATGGAAAATATGATATGTATAGCATAAATGTATATGAATGTTTAAGGAGTATAATAAATTAAGAAGAAACGATTTAAACTAATATTATATCCTACATGAATAATGCTATGTAATCAAAAGACATAAACTGGTACGTACGTACTTCAGTTATTTATCCCTGTTAAAGTAATCTATTAATAGACATTTAGTACAGATGAGATGATAGATTTGTAAAGGCTGGTTAAAAATGAACGACGAAGTTACCTTATTATACTGACACGTAAAAGAAACGCAACAAGCAGTAATCTACAAATGTTTGAATTTTTTATATAATGATTTTTTTAAAAAAGAATACAATAAGGCTTAACTCACTCTTCAGAACATCAGAGGTTTGATTAAAGTGTTAAATATTTATCGTTTAACTTGACTAAGTAACATATGACTGTTAAAACACCCCCTCCCTGCCATTCAATTACAACGTGCAAGACTGTCCTAAACAACAATTGCAGCTTAATTTCTACGATACAGTAGGTTAATTAATATCGAGATCTGAGCGAAGGAATTATTCTTTGCCATTTTTAAATGCCTGTTTTTCAGATGATTAGGTCGAATTTTCTCTAACTTAGCGCATTGTAGTAACCCTTGGACTTCCGGTCCAAGAACTTTCATTTATGCATACGATACGTAAGACCCCCTTGAAGAGTAATGTAGCGTATTTTTGCATCATCAACCCTCCATCACCTTAACTTTGAGATTTTCCAGCTAGAGCAATGGAAATGTGTACTTAAGGCATTTTCATGAAGCCTTAGCATCGTTACGGGAAACGAAAGAAGACTTTAGTTTTTGAAATATTGCTGCATTACTTAAGATGAACAGTACAAACCCTTAAAACTCCATAATATTGCAAAATGTTTTGTTAAACATGTAATTTTTGATTTCTCTTAAGCAGACTCAAACTTGACTTCCGGTTATGGTATGAAAATCGTTCAACCGTTAAATTACCGATATTTACCATATTGAAGATATCCATAATTTTAAGATACAAATTTTTTTACTTTACATAATTATTTCCCGTTAAAGTAGGGTGTTGCGTTTCTTTTGCGTTTCAGTATATTTTTTTTTTCAGGAAAGAAGATAGGTGCATTATAGCATATCAGCATTGTTCCGCAGATTAGGAATAAACCAAATCAAATATGAAATATGAAATTCGTTTTACCCTTTTTTAATTCCCCCCTAAAGGCACATTACCCGTACATAAGGGTAGCAATGAAATAACATAAAATATATAGAGAATATCTATATTGTGTAATTTGATATTTGCTTTATCCAACCAGTTGGAATAGAGTATATTCTCGAGGGTTGCCGAACGAATATTCACCATTTCAACAAGTTGGATAACGTTAAAATCAAATCACACAGTTAGAGATGTACTATTTATACATACGAGTTTTATTTAGGTTTTTTTATTTAACTTTGAGATATCCCCTGTGAAACTATATAAATGAGTTTGAACTGATGACGCATAAATTGATGACGTCGCAATGCTGATTTGACATGAAGGGAAGAATATCATGTGAAAAATATAAGATCTTTGTTATCTGTCTCTTTAAAACAGATGTGTGACGATCATGAAGTTGGGGGCTCATTTCAAACTATTGTTTGCAAGTTTTAAAGTTGTAAGGACCGAGGAATCATGAATTTTATTCCGATTCATTCTTGAACAGTGGAAGTGCAAAGGGTGATAGGCTAATGCACACGGTTGATCCGGATCTGTGGTAAGTTACACATACATTACTATAAGGCATACATACATAATATAATGTAAGAAAGCATTTTTGAAATTGTCAAGGGAATTTTGAATTAACACATAAATGCTTGGCACTTAATACGTCTCTCTTAAAAAATTCCGGGGAGGGGGGGGGGGGGGGAGGGGGGGTTACATCTATCTTTACAGTAACCGGTATGGATACGTTGTTAAAACTATGCACTTCTTTGAAGTATACGAGTTTTTTTTTCCTGCTTTTAAGAAAACTATTGCTTATTATCATTTATTTAAATGACAAGTCTGAAGAATTTTTACAAATGAAATTTTTGATAGATTTGAATCTTGAAGCGACGTGGAGGGATCGTGTCAAAACCGGAAGTGCTATTGATAAAGCACCTACCCGAGGATAAAGCGTTTATCTCACGGATAGTATCATCCACACATACGAGATAAAACTTTCTATATGTCTCAGTTTATAAACTCAACGAATAAATTGGCTACTTCGAAAATTTTTGTTTTTCAGTTAACATCTATATATATATCACTGTAAAAAATGCGCTTAGAAAATAAACACTTCCGTTACGTGTTTTGACCTAAACATGTATAAGATTGTGTTTAACGGCTAAACACTTAAGTCTAAACGTGTGTTATATCCAAATGATGTTAGATTCAACACATGTTTAGATATAAGTGTTTAGAATTTGAACACTTTTCTGTGAAGTGCAGAGTTATCTTCCCGGAAATGACGCATATAAATTCGAATGATAAATAGAGCGGTTATCGAAACAAAGAAAATCCCAAATGTAAGCTAAAGACGATGGATTAAAGGAAGAAAATGCTGATCAAAGTGATAATCATGAAGAGATTGTGATATATGCATTTAAAATGTAACATTACTACGATAAAAGGTATGTTTCCTATTATTTTTATTTTACATAAATTGACCACGATGGGCTACGTAAATAGACATGCAGTTACACATGTAGATGTAAATCAAGATTCCCTTCGGTTATACTTTGAATTCCTGAAATCTGGAAAGAAGTACATTATATAGAATGTCATTAATCTGTTAATAATTGTCTATATCGGTATCAGTACTATATAGTGGTTAAATGAGGTTCAATAAAAGTAGCACAATAATAGCTTAGTCAGTAGTCTATCAAACATGTGAAAAATTTCATACAACTCCAGCCAGTGAGGAGCATATTTTAATAAAATTTAAATTTCTTTCTTACAGGATATGGTCCACATCGAACTTAAAATCAAAAATACACGTATCAGAGGAACTGCTGCCTTCTCCAAGTCCACAATGACATGCCATCGTTCTTACATTTTTCGGCACTCCTTACTTTCTAGAGGAAACTGAATTTTATGAAGTCTGTTGTTCGTTATAGTTTTGAACAACCCAAAAACATTCTTAAAGTATGGAAGTGGATTACTTACTGACGGCCATGGATGAAAACAAATTATGCGTATGTTGCTCGGTGCAAGATTTGCTGGAAGTTAAAGTTGATACAAACATGGGTAATAACTGCTTGCTAAGCTGATTACAATTAAAACCAGAGTGTGAAAATATATATTTAAACATATATGTATATTTCATTCAAAATTCTTTATAATAAATCCATGTTTGAATGTTCATTAGATAAAATTTAAAATGTGAACAATTGTTATATTTTCAATTTTCTTGCAGGAAGACAATGAAAACATCCAAGTGTTTAATTTGTAAACATGTATCATAATATGTTTTGTAAAGTGTTTAAAGTTTAAACATGTAAGTGTTTAGGCTCTAAACACTTACATTACACGTAATGAAATTCAATGTGTTTAGAATTTCAATGCATAAAAAAAGTGTGACAAGAATGTGCTTAGGAAAGTGTCTATCATCTAAACACATTTTTTACAATGTAGCAATTTTTTTTTACATGTATGTATGACTTGCTTTTTGTGTTTGTTTATTTGGTTTTTCTTTGAATATGTATTTGTGTCGTTTTTATGTATTATTTTCACAAAAAATCAAAGTGAATGAGCTCAAAATGCTACATACTAACAAAGTAAACAATGGTAATTTTTCTTCTACGATCTCAGTAAATCCTTTTGTATTTAAAGAATGCCGTATAATGCCTAGAGTACATTAGAAATATATGAAATAACTCAATGATATTCGAGCTAAGGATGCTGAACATTAAGAAATCGGTGGGCGTTTTGATAAAAGAGACAATAAGACATAAATTTTCTATTATCATATCCATTTTTACAATTTGATGATATTATTCCTCGGGAAAGTTCATCCAAAGAATACATGCTTACATGAAAAGTAAATAAAGTTATTGTTATATTTACCATTCACAAGGTTCTTTGTACATTTTGGTTCCCAATCCATTTCACGACAAGTTGTTTTGCAGTCCCTTACATGGTTTAAATATTCTTCAGAATTAAGCATACTGTTACATGTAGTGATGTAGGCAAGCCAGGCTAGAACTCCTACAAATGCAGCCTTCATCTTTGTGGTAAATGTTACCTTTTAAGAATATGGTTGTATTATACATTATAAATATAGCGTAATTCTCGTGTAAATGTTTAAGATGTGTAAATGTTGAAAGAAAACAAAGTGATTTGTAATACCAATATTATAATACAAGGATTCAATAGTACTTACATAAACTTTTGAAAATGCTGTGAAAGGTACTTTGTAATTTATTTTTCTTGCCTATATATATTGAAAATCAGCTATATATTTATCATTAAAATGATATTTGATATATCCGAAACCTGAAACAATGTAGGTAAATGTAGAATTAATGCACGCAATGTACATATACAAATAATTTTTATCTTGGTATAACAGTCATTATTTGCTATCTAGCTTGTAGTACAAGCTTTGATTGGTTACAAAGTCGGGTGAAAATTGCCGTAAACCCGGCTTGAGTGGGGGGGGGGGGGTAAAAAAAACGTGACCTCACAATGCATAGTTTCTCTATGATAGAAAGCAAATAACATGACGTCACTATATGCATTGAAGGATGTAGTAAATTTTATATCGACAGCTTGATACACAGTTTTATAAAGAATCATTTGGGTACATAGGAAATAAATTCATTATTCAGGTCCAATCAAGTGTGTACGAGGATTTACTCCGGGTTGAATTCTATACACCCTTTGGCCTTCGGTCTCAGGGTGTATGGAATAAAACCCGGGGTTAATCGACCGAAGCTTAAGGGTGTATGGAATACAACCCGTGGTAAATTCCCGTACATCCTTGATTGAACCTGGATAACTAATAATACCGACAAAAAGCGTCTTTAAACTGAAGTAAAATATTCAAACATGTTTGTTTTCGTTTTTATAAAATAACAACCAAGGATACAAAGAAAATGCACTGTTTACAACAATTAAGCTATTAAACGTAAGGATAGAGAAAAAACTGGGATCGAAAAATGCTAGCAAGGTACATCTTTCAAAAGTTGCAGCTACGCTGTAATAACACTGCTGGTAAAGTGCGAATCGAGAAAATCTTGGTTTCGGATACCAGCTACTATTGGTTTACATCAATGAGGCAGTTTATGTCAACTTAACTATCAGAAATGATAAAACATTTGATTATGACGTAATTATTAATGTGCAGTATGGTTTCATGGAGTAGCATTGCTTGTTGATTGAATACAAATAAGGAGCAATCCAGTAACTGCTTTAGATTACACCCGTTCCTTGTATTTTACTAGATTATTCATATTTGCTTTTAACGTGTTAAACTCGATTAACGCTACGTTATTTGTGTTAAAAGTGATATGAGTATATACTACATGAATCATTTCTGATTTCATGTTTCTTTTATGTTTCACAAGATTAAAACTTTTGATGTAATATAAAGTTTTCTGATGACATTGCGAATATGGTTGCTGTATGTGCGACTCTTGACACGTGTAATTGCTACGACTGGCTTCTATTCTGTTTCATGAGGTGCGACGTTTTACTGCTGTATCATAAATTTATTGTTATCCGAGAAATACTTTTAAATTTAATATCGACACATCAGATAGTGCAACTTTCTTGAATAACCCCCAAAATATATACCTCCTATTCGAGGATTGGTTGCTTCTATTAAATATTTAAAATGTATTGCATATATGCCCCCCCCCCCAACATAAATTGCTCTATCATGTGAAAAAAAATTAAGGATTTAAAAATGCAAAATTCACTCTGGTTAGTTTATATTGGATAACATTCTTAAACATCATGAACTTGCTTTACTAAAAATATGTTACTGGAGTATTTATGTTCATTAAGGCTCTAATCCAAAAGTTCAATTTTAAATAATTCTAGATTCATGTTGTATTCAAGTCATCTTCGATTGACTATCTAGAACTTCAAAGTTACAAACTTTCTATGCATGCAGAAGAAACAAAAAAGACCTTGGAACCCCATACCCCCCAAGGAAAAAAAATTGACCTCTCTTTAATAAGAATGGGAGTCATGAGCCTTCATGTATTTGAAGGGAATAGACGTTGATGCATGTAAGAGTGTTTTACTTTTACATCTCCTCCATGAATAGTTTTAACCTTTGACTTGGAAAGATGGCATTAAGTATTTCAGATAATTAAGAGCCATTCTCTGTAATGATTTGAAATTTAATATAGGAGCTGTGTCACGCATTGTCTCAGAATTTCTCCAAACTCTCTATGATAAAAGTCATTGATACCCTAAACTGAAATCAGGCAAAAATTGGTTGCTATGTGTTATAGTTACCATGGCAACATGTCTTAAAGTTCGAAAAAATGGCATTTTTTAACATGTTTAGAGCCCCATAATTAACATTTGCGGCAAAACAAACAATTGGCAATGACTGTTTCCAAAAGTTGAAGGTCAGATGTCTCAAATGCATGATAAACATGTTTGGTAAATCAACTATTGCATACGTTACTATGGTAACAAAGTATTCTAAAGTAAAAAAAAAAAATCATTGAATTTTTTAAAGTCATACACGTAAAAATAAAAAGCAATTATGGGATGAAATGTGACGAAATAATAGAAAAAAGAGCCTTGAAACATGTACCAAGAACAAAATATGATATTTCATTTTGGTTGGCAATGGTTGCCAAGGTTTTTATACCGCAGAGAGTCTTCAAAGTAACACTCTGTATGTTTAAATATGATCCTTTCTTTTAAAAAGGCACATTTCCTCATAACTAATGATCAATTTTTAAAGATGTTGGTGTGCTCCTAGTTTTCCCATTTGAAAAAAATCAGATTAGATTCTTTAGATAGAGCGTTGCTATGGAAATAAGCAGAAAATATATGCTTAAAAACCGGAAAAATATTTTCTTTCCTTGGATACGTACCCTTAAATGTAGATTCCCAAAACTTTTATGATTGATATTTATTAATAGCTAACCTGACTTTTAATTTTGACTATCATCCAATCTCTAAGTGGATGCAAGAAGTTGGCAAACAGGGTTTAATATTGATATAAAGTTCACAAAATCGAACATTTTCCCTTCTTGGTAACCATAGCAACATTGTTGTTTTCTTCATCAAATTTTATCAATACATGTATATGATATTCAACCTCAGTTCTAACAGATAAATAATATTCAAGCTGATTCCTTTATTTTGTTTCTTGATTATATGGCAATTTAATTCTTAATGCAGCGAAAAATAATTCACCTTTAAGCACTGGTACTTTGTCTCCATGGTAACACTGCAAAATAGCAATTATACCCAATTTTTCTTATGGTTTTGGTGTTGCAATGTCCTAAGGATGCATATTTGACAGTCTTGAATTTTCATGTTTTTCCTCAAGACAGTAGCATTAACCCAATCTTAGTTACTGGTTTTGCATGGTTACACTGTGTTACCATGGCAACCATAAAAGTTATTTATAGAATAATATTGCTTATACTTATATACTTAAGGTGAAACATTTTCATTGTTTTCCTTAAGTCGTTGATTGAGTTTGAGCATGTAATACCTACCATTAGTTAATACGGAGTGTTTTTCAGCATATTTCAACATTTTAAAAATGTATTCCAAATGTACCCTTGGTTACCACTTACTTAGAGACATATTCTAAACAGTTTCTGTACAGTATAAGTGACATCAAGGTGTCATGTTTTTGTGAGAATGGTTTGTTTGCTTTTTCTACTTTTTATTAAGCAACAGTCAAGATTTAAAGTGGCTGAAAATCTCGATTTTTCAAACTTTTCCGGCTGTTGCCATAGCAACCGAGTCACTTAGCAACGAAATTTTGGTTGATATTTGTTTCTGGTGTCAAGTACTAAGCATGGGTGAAGTTTTATCAAAATCGGTGACCATGCGTGGCAACGAAGTTTAAGTGGTTACAGAGAATGGCTATTAACTTGTATGGAATATTTTAATATCTCAACAAAATATTCTCATATTTGAATGACATAAAGACACCGGTCTATTTATTAAACATACAGACCCGTGACATTATTTTTCAATGTATATGTAGGAAGGATAAGGGCCGCAGGTGATTGACAACCCAACAAAAAATGTCCAATCTCGGGAGAACACAGCTCCAGAACTGTAGTGTTAACTTATGGTTTCATGTTTTCATCTTTGACCATAAAGACTTAAATATAAAACCATAACGCTTCCGTTCTGCAGCTAGGAAGAACAGTCCTATTTTATCGTGTGTTGGGGACATTTCTCTAACTATTCCATTTTTCCACAACGGCCATCTTTGTTATCGAAGGGTCTCTCATACGCTACTTTCCGCTTAAACTGAGGAGAGTAGAGTATTAGAAACCCTTGGCGAGCGAAGATGACAACGGCTGGGTTTGCAAATCTTACGGTTAGCTGCAGAACTGTATCTGTCCGAAGACGGGAGAGCTGGAAAAAATGTATACCGGTATTTACTGTGCATGAAAGTGTGCTGCTTCTCGGATTCAAACTGTCATATTCTAAAAAATATTTCTAACTGGGTTTTCCAAATAAATTCCTTTACAATTTCCACTTACTATTTCCACGACAAATAACTGTTGTATATAGCCCTCAAAGAATCGCATTTTTTTTCTGCAGATGACAAGAGACAAATCGTTTCAATTGCAACACACTTCGTGAAGAATTCTAGAGGTCATGATTTTTTTTTAGCTTTTGTGCAGTTGATATAAGAATTTAGAGGAATTAATCAAGTACCTATCGCAGCTTTTGGGCGCATTTTTTGAACAGATTTTTGTTTGGGTGGCACTGTTGCACTTCGGTAGTCTATCTCATTTTTTTTCTCAGACCAGCGAGTTACAGAAATGCAGCTACCTTACGGTTACAAAAAAGTTGGGGGGATGTCTACATGAAAAATTATAAACATGAATCAAAACTAAACCAAAAGACTATTTTCAGAAAATAAAGTACACCCCAACTTGCATACTTCGTGCCTGAGATGTAACTGGATAAATTTAGACTACATGCAACACAGTTCTAAGGATGCAAACATCATGCTTTGAATAAATATTAATTGCAAGGAAAAATATTACCATTATGCATTCGTTTACTGCT